ATAAGTTTGTCATCGTCTATATACCTTCACGCAGGCCTGGCACGGGGAGCTGAGTGATCGCGCAATGAACGCTTGGTCCGAGAGAGCTGCTCAATACGAGACGGATGAAACCTTTTCTTCGGCGTTGGAAGACGAAAGCAGTCACCGTTATGCCTTGCATCCACTTCCGATTCCGAAAGCATTGATTATTCCTCGAAATGTTCCGAATTCGTCCAAGATGAGTAATAAGTGATCTTCAAAGTTCATATACTCTAACTGATTCATCCTGGATGGCGCATCCAGCCTCGATCTTCTGGCACATTGATTTCCGGTTCACTGTACATTTGGCGATATGCTGGGTCCCTGCTTGAATAAACGTTCGTGCTAAAACGAATTCACATCAATCAAGTCTCAGTGGGGATGAAACGAATAAGTTGTGAGAATTTTCCACACAATTAAAATTGTGTGGACGGAATGCAGTAAGCGTTCAGAAATTGCAATACTTTTCAACATGTGCCAATTCTGAAAGGCTCAACATGTGATGTTCATAAGAAGTACTTGTCTGAATTATGTATGGAATGCGCATCATTGAACTAAGTTCCATGGAAATTGTGGAAATTCATCTTCCACAATTTCCATGGATTTCAGTAATACTGGTGACGATACAATTTCCCAGGACCAAAAATCAAGCTTTTTCTGCACAATACCTGATGATGAGCACAAGCAGTTATTGAGGTTCCTTTTTTATTCCAACTTTCATTTTCTCAGAAGAAAACTTTATCTCCTTGCTCCGTGCAAATCTTGTAAGATATTCACGCGTATCCTTCTGTCACATGAAAACAAGATTAACATATATACAGACGAACATTTCCATGCATAAAAACGCGGGACAAAGTTTGCCTATCGCGTATTTTTCTGCGATTTGTGCAACTCCCAAGACATTTATGCTAAGTAGTGAAGCTCAGAAGTCATGGAAGTGGAAAAATTTCTCCCTTGTCGAGGCTAAACTCTTTTATTCATATTTGATATGGTGAATTTAACTTCGTGCCATAGAAGAACATCTTGCGCCAATCCCGTGAGAAGTATTTTAATTTTGAGTCCAAAACTGGCGCAAGGAAGATGATAAAAATACACTGCATACATTGAAAATGCGTGTCAAGATTTTAATGAAAAATAACATATTTCAAAAATTTGATTCTAAAACCTTCTGGAAGTTTTCTCGGTATATTTTCTCCGGTTTTGTGACGGTGATGAGTTTCAAGAAAGTCACCATAATCCGAGAACATTTTGAAATTGTTGAAATAATATTTTTGATCCTGATAAATACCGCCGTTTTGGTAACAATGAATTTCAAAACGTTTTCAACATCCTGCTTTATTCTTTAGATGCGGAAGGTTTCATCAATCAATTTTCCATTAGTCTCAATTTTAAATGTTAAACTCAAAACCCACCTTCATCATCATGTGTTCATCTATTTCAGCAGCTGTTATACGAAAAAAATGACACACATGATTACAAAATCGTTTCTTATAATAAGCACATTCGTATTCAATCAGCTCAGGGCAAAATAATGCATCGCGTTGGAAATAATCCATAAACAAGACAATAGAAAAACTATCAAAGAACTTCGGGAAGAAATCGGCGTCGATGACGACGAAATAATGTCTCGACACCAATCGTCGATGAAAATTTCCGTCGCGTTTCCGTAAATCTCAGTCGCGTCAGGGCCACAGCCAGTTCCATGCGACATCAAGCAGTCCCGCTGCTGTTTCAAATTCCTTTTTTTTTTTTAAAGCAAAATAAAGAAACATTGTTGCAGCATTACAAGATTGTAATTTATGCCTGGAAAAAAACAACTGATGGACGACTATCATGACATGCCACCTATTTTTTTGTTTCAAAAGAATGAGGAAGAATTTATAACAAACCTGCATACAGATTCGCCGGTGACTTCAGAGCGTAGAATTTTCTGCCAAATGTTTTTTGGCAACTCGGGTGTTTTGCACACTGAGGTTTCTGTGCGATCCTTTTCGAGGCATTCCCAATTTCTCAGTAAAACTGTGTCGGGTTGAAAACAAAATAGCTAACGTCACAACAAAAAATATATCTCAATGACTTTCTGAAATGAGATGATGGTCAAACATTTTTGGCCCATCTGATTAATTCATCATTTGAGGAGTTAAGAATATAATGCGCTAAAGTATAGCATACAGGAAAAATTTCGACAATTTTCCAGCAGCAATTTTTGCGCGTATTTTTTATCGTTGTTTTTGGACGAGAAAAAAAAAACTGATCAAAATGTCATCATCTCGAGAAATTGCGACACGCATTTGCTGGATTTTTTCCACGTGTCAAGTTAATTCAAAATTCCGCAACTCACTCAAAAACCGTTGCCTCAGTTTCGTGACGTCACAAAACCACTCGAATGTTTTCCATAAGCTTTCTAGCAAATGGCGGAACCGGAAGAAATCCTCGTAGAAGTAGCAAGCGTCTCGCTTCAAAATACGATCGAAGCATTGAAGGACTCGTTTTATCTTCCTGAAGAAAAAAATTTTTACTATAGAAGTTGTGTGACTAAACTTTCCCGTAAGGAACTAAGCATAGATTAGTTCAATTACTCGAAATAATTACTTGCAGCTGTCTTCCAGCGCTGGACCACTAAACGCGTAATCATCCGTTTGGCCAATCCTTCTGCGTCCAGTCAATTCTGCGTGCATTCTAAAGATAAGGATAAACTATTTTAATAAATTCATGCATTCCGATTCTGAAAGATGTTAAAAATCATGTCCTCTGAATCAAATTTAATATTTCATACATGCATCATCGCGGCGCCTTCCGGTGAACGAAAGTCGCTATATAATAACTGATGAATGGTGGTGACTAGTAATTCGAACATTTCCGTGGAAAACAAACCTGTAAACAGCAGGTTCAATGTCTGGAAAGTCCCTCTCCAGGTAAATATGCAAGCAAATTCCGGCCTGCTTGACCTCCGTGCCGCATCCTTGGCACATTTCCATCACAGCCATGACTAACATCACATACAAACACTTTTTTCCAGGGATCGGAGAGAAAATCTCCAGCAATGATCTCATGCCGGTATATATATATTCGCGGTATTTCAATCACAAATAACATAATCGATGCGATTCTCCTTCGATGAATCACCCGCACGCAAGATCAGATCCATGCTTATGTAATCCTGCTGATGAAAAGGTCACACATTCAGCTTTAGAGCGACATCTACGCGTAATGTCGATGAATTTACTTGGTATAAAATCAGATGCTGGATTATGGGCAGCAGCACCAACAGATCTGGGTGTTGAACTGAATTGTTCCAATAAGTAGAATCTTGTTACAACAAACTCCCAGGTACTGGGAAAGAATTTGTTGTAATTAAAAATTCGTTATATCAAGATCAATGGATTACTTTACTGAAATACACCTCATCATCTGAAAAAGCATTTTATTGCCTAACAAACTGTTGAAATTTTTTTAGCTTTGCAATATCTTTAAAAATAAATGTCTTATATGAAACGGTTAAATTTTACAATGAATTAAAAAATTGGAAACGGAACTCAACACAGAAGAGCATTGAAAAATAAAAAGATTTTCACGGATGTTTGTGGCCAACTTTGCACTGCCCTTCTAGACTCCTGAAACATTGTATATTTGATTAATCAGGATACATATATTTTATGGGCTTCCTGCCAGTCAGCTAATGTAACCCTTTTTTTTAGCTTCCTGTACAATATTTTTAAGGGTGTAACTTTGCTGCAGACACATTTCCTGTCCACTATCTATATATAGGGAGGATGAGCCTCAGGAAATTATCATATGAAGATTGGGGACCAAAAATTTGGGAATTTCGAACAAACAATTTGAAAATTGGATTTGAAATTTTAAAAATTGGGGACAAACATTTTTTTTAAACTGGGGAGTCTGTAGAAGAGAAATTTATTAAAACGATATTAATTTAAAGTGCACTTCAAGGATAACTACTGGGACTTCGAAAAAATTCGTCACATTATTGGTGATACACTGAGCACTGTGGATAAACAAGGAAAAAAAATAAGCAGTTGCGGGAGAAACGGAAAAAAAAATCCGCAGAAAAAAATGCTTCTTCCAGATCCTTCGTCGCGAGCTTCATTTGAACTCAAAGGGCTTTTATCTTTGCGGTGCCCAATTTCAAAGGGCGGTGGTTTTAAGAGCCATATATTGCATTAATTAGAAGTCCTTAAATGGGAAAGACAAGGCAACCCAAGCCCATCGTTTATCAGTTCATCGACGATAGGAACCGTTGAACCTGAATCTGAATAAGAATTGCTCCGTCATGATTAGCGCTGCTCCTATATTATTGAGAATCGAGTTTCCTGGTTCTGCGTTCCGTGTTCAGAACTTATTTGACAAGCATCAGATCCCGACAACTATTATTAAGGAGATAAGGACTAGTATTTTGTTCATGGCCGAATTCAATGTTGGATTGTTTTGAAAACATTTTTAAATGTGATTTTCGAAGGAAGGATAATCTGACTTCATGCAAGAATCATTATTCGAGACGAAATGCGCGGAAGAACGCTGGTATATGTTTGATTTTCTGCTGACTCAGCAATCACATATGCCATGTAAACTAAAACAGTATGTTGCTTTCAACGCATATGCATTCCTGCCTGGTTGTGAATAAATCAGCTGGTTGAAATTGTTGACAAAACAAACACAGAATACGAACACAATAATGCCAGAAAAAATACGAGGATTACATAAGCGGTTTACTGAAGTTTTTAGCTGCTTATCACCAAAATATTCAAACAATTATGTAAAAAACGAAGGCCACAAAATTGAAGCTCATTCTGTGCTCTTTTGAATGATATATGTTCACAGTTTGATTTTATACATTATAATATTGTTATAAATAAGCTATTTTGGGATTGTGACAAATATTCATGATAAAAATGTGTGAAGGAATTTGAATGAATTGTGGCAATAGAGCGCTGTCCTCCATTATGAATTAATATTATTATCAATAACTTTTTATACAGTACGAAGATTTGTGGTCATGCGATTCTACACTATACAGCAGGATTCCGTTGTAAAAAATATTTTTCTGACAAATTTTTCATCAAAACAATTTTTTGAATCCAGCAATTTATTTTTATTGGAACTATCATCCATGTTATTTCGAGTAATCTAAAAAGACTTATTTTCACCCTAATGATTCAGTATTCAATGGCATTTTTCTCTGATTCTGTCCATGGAACATAGAAAATATTTCTTATAGGCAGGAAAAATAAAAATAAAAATTGTATACAGCGGGGTTGAAATTTTTTTTAAGGGATGCTTTTTAGAGGACAAATTTATTTCCTCTCCCAGCAGGTATTAGTCCACGTGTCTACAATAATGCCATAAAATTTCTCAGGAAATTATTAACTTATCTGCACTCCAATTTGTGAAAAGTTATTAAATTCATTTTGGGGCATTCTATTTTGAATAGGTAATACAGTATATGATTATATTAACAGCATATGCGCGGGATCGCAAAAAAACAACCGCGTAATATAGCCTCAAAACGTGTTCATTCCATATATACAATGAATCCCAATCGATTCAATCACACCAACGGCATCAGCATTGTCTAGATTGGAAATTGTAAAAATATTCCGTGTCTTCGGAGTAAATATGCACTGATCTCACGTTTTTGAATGCATGAAAAGTCAATGTGCGTAACTTTTGTAGTTGCAGCAGACCAATAATACAACCATACTGCGGAATACAATACTGTACTATATATAGCTACAGTATATATAGCACACGTTCGTAATGCATATATAAAAAGTCCTTTATTGACGAGCTGAATACTATATGTGTGGACAGCACATGATTCACGACGACGCGTTCTCTTCAATAAAAAGCAACGCCATCAAAAATACCAAAATTCACTTCAAACGCAGAAATTTTCTAGGCCGGAGAGCGAAGAACCGCGGCAAAGATTCATTCTTGAAGTTTTACCTCATCCACACTGCTGTGTTTATATTTCAGACTTTTTTTCTTTCTTTACACATTAGCACGAATGAACCACGTCCGCACGCCGGTCCGCGAACGCCAGAAATAGTCCACAGCAGGAGCAACTGCTGTATATTCTTTGTGTTAATAACCTATTCGACTGTTCTACACACGTATGGACGCGGAA